ATAAATATAATAAATAAAACTTCCAAAAAGAAAAAAATATCGATATTAGATAGTATCTATTTTGATCAAGAAACGTAATGCTTTCTATCTTTTTTTTTTTCGAAGAAATATGTGATTATTAATCAAAATTTCGTTATCATTTTCAGTCACCCATCCAAGTACTAACCGTGCTCAATGTTGCTTGAACTTCAGTGATCGGACAAGAACTGTTTTTTTAATTATAATTTTGTCGTTTGTATTTTGGAAAATGTTGCAAATCAATAAAATTATTTTAGCAATAAAACAGATTCATTTAATTATATATAATAAAGCCATTTATTTTGATAGTTTTCTAGACTTTAAAGATTTTCTTTGGGCGTAAACCTTTAATTATAACCTTCAATTGACCTAAATCTAAAATCATACCCAACTTTGAGCGTTTTTTTAAGTGTTTAACAATCAAATTTGAGCGTTCTTTTTGTTGAATGTTTAATGCTCAAAATTGAAGGTTTTTTCGTAAAATACGCTTTTATGAAAAAACTCAAAATTTGAATGTTTATACTCAATTTAGAGTTATTTCAGACGCTGAACTTGATCATTATTTTCAAATTGAGAGTTATCTTTTTAAAATTGTAAGTGTTACTTATTCCATAATTATTTATTTTTCAGTTTTATTGCTAAAATACGTATCATTGGTCGTATCATATTCCGGAATACACATGACAAAATTATAATTGAAGAAAAATACTTTACTCCCTTATTTGGAAATTAATTTCGTTATTTCCCTATGCAATCACCCATCTAATTTTATACTCCATTCAACGATGCTTAATCTCTGCAATCGTACGAGAACTGCTACTTTGATGATTCATGTATATATGTATTAAGTTTATTTCTGAGACAATTATATATAATAGTTACTTATTTTCTTATAATGTCGCAAACAAACTAAAAAAAGACATTTTTTACTTTCATGTATCCAATTGAACGGTACGGTAACTTGACTCTCCGCTACTATCTGTATTTGAATCAAGGACATTTAAGTAAGTACATGGTGTATCATTATTTGTAATAAAAGTATTCTAACTAGAGAAATATTTGTCTAATTTTCGTATTTTTTTTTTTTTCAGAAAAAGAGTTCCCATTATACAAAAAAATTGAAATTTTATATCTTGTGTGACTAGAACTGATAGTTCCAACATGATATGGAAGTTGTCCGACTTTCCATTTTTTGAGAAGTTAATCATAAATTTATAAGATATAAATGAATATATAAATAGATAAGACTTCCAAAAAGAAAAAAATATCGATATTAAATAGTATCTATTTTGGTCGAGAAACGTAATACTTTGTATCTTCTTTTTTTTTTTTTTGAAGAAATATATGATTATTAATAAAAGTTTCGTTATCATTTCACAAGCTACAGATAATGCGTTAACAATTTTCAAGAAGATGACTTTATAGTTTCAATTAATGCTTATTAAAGATTTAAAAATTGGAAAGTTTTTGATTTTATCAAAAAACATTTTTTTTTCAATGATTTCAGAAATAACTTGAAGAATTTGTCTTTTTAAAATCATCTTAGTCAAAATAATAGATCACGATATCAAAATGACATTAAAATGAATTGTGACTGATAGAAAAAAACCTTTTTATAATATAATTATTTTAATTTTGATTATTATTTTAACTATTATATAGGTTATATATTTATATTTATGGGGTGATTTTCTAATTCTTTATATTCATTAATGGGGGCACACACAGTTCGGGGGATTTCTCAAACTTTATCTTATGAAGTTAGTTTAATTATAATTTTTTTAGTATTAATGATTTTGAGAGAGAGGTATTCTTTTATAGATTTTTTAAAGTGGCAGATATATGGTATGGAATTATA